ACAGCCAGAAATAGAACCAGAGCTTTCGGACAACACTAGTCCTTCCTCAGTGGCGAGTGAGTGAGGGTAGAAAAAGCTAGATGGTATAACGTGAGAATTTCATGCAAGCATGATTGGAAACAATAGGCTGGGCGAGATTAGAATAAACAGTCTAAACAAGTAAATAATAAGATGGTTACGATACCTGACGCGTTTTTCCGACAAGCGTCGTAGAAATTTGAAATTTGAAATATATATGTATATATATATATATATAGCTAAATTACTGTACTTTTTGCTTATTGTTTTACGCATTTTCACCATCACTACCAGATTCAGCGTTTGTTGTGTGGTGTTTATTAAATCTAAACTAACCATAGTTTAATTTACTCTTAGGTGACACAATCTATTGTTATGGTGGTAAATAACTTGTTAGGTGTTGACGAGGATATTCTAATGGAAAGTCAAATGAGGAATCAGGCTCCTACTAAAATTACTGAAGTTCTTGAAGGTCAATTGGGCATAGTAGAGCTAAATGAAAAAGGCATTTATGAAGAAACGACACCTAATATAGCAGTACAGGCTCAGATGTTTGATGCAACTCAAATTAGTGAAGAAAACATGATTAACTTAACTTTTATATCAGAATCAAATAAGAATGGTGTAGGTGCAGTTAAAGTACTTGCCAATGGTGTAAAAATACCTGATGCTGCCAATGTGTCAATTGCTCTGCCAAGCAGTATATCTGACGTCATCAGTGCTAATAATATAACAGGTAATAATAAGAATTCGTAATATTAAAATATTTGTTGCATAGGGCTTACAGATAAATGGTTAGACTTAGTTTCATTTAAAGGGTGTTCAAAATGAAGTGTATTGTTGCATACAATACATATATCCCTGTACACAAACAGATGAATTCCAAAGTACTGAATTAGAAAACATAAAACTGCTGTTAGAATGAAGTGAATAATGTAGTAACAATAATTAATAAAGCTTTGTACCGGAAAGTAAAATGACAAGTGCATTCATCATATGTTATTATAAATGTCATTTGTTTATGTAATACCATGTTTTATATGTTAGTCATCTAATGAAATATATAACCGACAATTTTCACTTAATTCATAAAATTTGTAAAAACGATGTTTTGTTGAGTGTGGTCACACAAAAATGACCTGGTATCTCGAATCATGGCTTCTTTATGATTGTCTGTTTTGTTTCTGCTTTTAGATTTCCGGATTATAGTTATTGTTTACAATGACAGTAGACTGTTTCAATCTGCTCAGTTCATTAATGATATATCAGGTCGCAGACCAAATAGTCAAGTTATTTCTCTGTCAGTTCCTGGGTTAGATCGTGTTGAACTGGACGAGCCCATTGTTACCACATTCATTCCCATTGAAGTAACTTTTTTTTAATATCATTATTTAAATAAATAATATTATTTTAAGATGTTGATTATTACTCAAATTATTAATAATTATTATTGTGACCGATAACTTGCTTTTAACTAGGAACAGCAATACTTAACAAAACAATAAATAGTATTACTACATACCAACAATCTATTTAGACTGACATTATTATTCCAAGGATCATTTGTCAGAAAATATTAATAGTCTTTCAAAGAAAATGATTAAATGCGTATTACGTTCGGTCATTTCAACCATAAGCCTATAATTTGCACATACATTATACGATATTATTTACAGATCTCTGAAGCAAACAGAAATACAACCTGTGTCTTTTGGGACTTCATACTGGATGGGGTTGGAGGATGGTCAACTGAAGGCTGCACATTTGTAAATGGATCGGAGGATGGAAGTGATAGGCAGTATTGCGAGTGCACTCATCTAACTAACTTTGCTATACTTATGGTATGTTTACCAGCAACACATCCGTTTGCTTAATATATTAATCTGTCTTTTTATCTAATTATGAAAATAATTATTATGTTAATTATTCTTTTGGTATTATTCCATTCATATTAATAATGATAGCTATAATAATACTAATAATTATACGGCTATACTACTACTACTGCTGCTGCTAATAATAATAATAATAATAATAATAATAATAATAACAATAATAATAAATATTTTTTACTGTTATTATTATTATAACTATATCAACATTATCATTTTCGTTATCCTTAATAATGTTATTATCACTACCTTGTAATTATCATATTTTATTGACATTGTTATATTTAGGTCTATTTTAATTACTATTTTCATTTTATAATTAAGTTATTTGTATTATTTAGTCTTGAACTATTGTAAGTAATAAGAAAAAGTAGCCAGCAAACAACTGAATACTAGAACTTGCTCATTATTATTATTACTGTATTAATGTTGTTTGATTATAATTTACATTAATAAGATAAACTTGAGTACAGTATATTAATATATTTGTCTTAAGATCACTGTATGTTATTTCATACGTAATTCAACGTATGTAATGCTATTCTTATTTGCCTTTTAATAGGATTTCCATCAAATGTCATCTCTTCCCCCTGCAGCAGACATTGTGACTACTGTTGGCTTAAGCATATCAATTGCATTTCTTTTTCTGACATTACTTATTTTCGTGAGTAAAAGGTATGTACATATTTTATGTTATTAATAAAATATTATTTCTAACTTAAATATTATATATTTAT